TCTCACTGCTATTTCTTTGATACTATAAATTCTTGTTATATGTTAATGACATCATTTAAGTTTAGAAATAAGAAATCTCAATTGAAGCTGAAGATGCCAGCTTAAAATTACCCCAGTAATGCCGAAACTTGTATTTGAATATTCTAGTGTCTGAGGAGCTGAAACACTTTATTTGAAGTTACATTGCTGTTTATAGACTTATTATGCTTCTACTTCTTGAAGATGTTAAACAGTGTAGAGCCTAATTATATTGTAAATCTATCTTCGACCACAAATCTTCCAAATGCTATATGAAGGATTCTTTTATCAACTATGCTACTTGTACAATTTTTTTGACAGATTCTTTGATAGATGCTGAGGTTGTCCTCAGCCCACCTCAACATCTGTCAAAATACCCCTCCACAAGCAGCTTAATTTTTCTTTTATAGTTGTTTTTTATCAGTTTCTTTTATAGTTGTTGGGTGTATGGGTGGTGGATTCGATTTTTGTACTGTTTATTATTGTTAGAGTTTATTATTAACAGAAGATGACAAGAGTTTGTTTGTGGAAAACAGAACTTGGCATTAGGAATGGTGTCATTTTGTAAATGAATAAGATTGGAACATAGGATCCACATATGTGAATGAATACAAGTTGATCTTCTTACCTGTATATTTCGAGGAGAATCTCCTTCAATGCTGGTGATGCCCTTTCAATGCACGCCATTCTCTCTCTCTCTCTCTCTCTCTCTCTCGCTCTCGCAACTCTCTCTCTCTCTCTCTCTCTCTCTCTCTCTCTCTCTCTCATTTGTATTTGCACGTGTGAACACGACTGCTACATTCTGTGGGTTGCTGGCAGAGGAGTGTAAAGACATTTTTGCGTGAAATGCACAGTGAATGCTGCAGTCATGTTAAACAAACTTTGAAGCAATGCAATTACCAATCACCATGGAATTCCTCTAATGCAATGCTTCAGAAGACAGCAAAACTATAATGTTTCACATATTTCTTGGTTGTGATAGGTGAACTAGGTTTACAACGTTGTGAGACAGTTCGACTCATAATCAATGAGGGTATTATTCCTTCGTCTATTATTTAATACGATTTTGTGGGAAAAAGACAAATTATGATTGCTCGACTATTTCTATATGTACGTATAATAAGGAAATGAAAGATTGAAATCTGCGTACACAAACACACGAGTGCTTGTTTGATGTTATATCTAAGTGCTTATAAGTGTGGGTATTACGTATTATGTGAATGATTAGTTGGTAGTATAATGTCGATTTTGAGAAATGTGAGGACAAAAGTCTATTTGACCGACTTAAAAAGTATATATATATATTGCCATGTATCTTGAGTAAACAATAGTGGCATGTTTGGTATGCACAAAGGGAAGAGTGTTAGATGGTGTAAATATGACATCTTAATATTCATTTTTCTTTGTTAATCATATTCAATCAAATTTAGACTCTATTTGATTTCCCATTTTTTCAAGAATGCATTTTTTTTTTTAAATTCATTTTTAGTCACATATTTTTTTATAAAATAATTATACACGCTTTTCAAAAGTTTTTCCATACTTTCTATTCACACATTTCGAAAAATTACTATTTTATAATGCATTTTATTCCAAAAATGAGAATCAAACAGGGGCTTAGTATATTGTACTCTATATCCCAAACATTATGAATATATTTTGGATAATTCTAAGTGTACATAATTTGGTTTACCTACTCTCACTAGCACGTGGATCCCGCGTGAGTAAAATAATTCAAACATGTGGTCTCCACACCCCTATTGTGAGTGTATTTAAAGCATTAGGTAAAAAAAAATTAGGTACATCTAGCATGGTCCATATTTTTTTTCCTTCTGGTTAAACTAATACCTAGGTTTCGAAACCCGCGCGCGGTGTGGCAATGCGTAATGTCAAGTTTCAATCTTTATTAGCCTAAGCATCCGAGATGAAGCCTATTACGTTGTTTCCTATTATTAATTATTCTAAGATTGTTAATAATTACTTTAATAAGATCATTATTTTATTCTAAGACCGTCAATAATTATTCATTTTATTTAATTAGTTTATTTACCAACAAAATATTAAAAAAAAGGACAAACAAATAAATAAATAAATAAATAAAAATTTAAAGGCCCCTGCATTAAGTGGTCAAAATATACGAGATTTGTCTTCATGCTTCACACTAAAGTCCTCTCTTTCTTTCATTTTAGAACGTTGGTAATACTTTAGCCAAAGATACATAAACTAATGATTGATTTATGTTATGAAAAACAACGAGAATAATGGAATAAAAAAATTACAAAAATTTAAAGATATTTAAAATATAATCTTGCTAGTGGTACACAACCGTGTACTTAAGGGTGTACCTAATGGACACCCGGCGCCTCGACCAATGTCAAGGCCCACAGGCGCCTCGGCCAATACCGAGGCGCTGGGTGTACATTAGGTACACCCTTAGGTATACGATTGTGTACCTTTAGCATAATTCTTTAAAATAAATATAAATCAAGAATACAAGAATATTAATCTCTCTCTAACAACATCTCCAATGGTGATATAAAATTGGATGTAAATTAATATCTTCAAAATCACTTTTGTATTTTCATTTAAGATTTCAATGGATCTAAATTCAAATTCTGTTCCAATATAAGAATCTAAATCCATTTTTTGCCATTGCCACTTTTGAAGATCTTCGCATTTCCTTTGCATCTCCTCATTAGAGAGATTTTCGATCACTTTGAAAATCTAAATCTCTATCATCATCGTTGGAGGTGCTCTAAATACAGTAGTTTACATTATTAATGGAGTGCAGTACTAATCTTAACGGACAAACAGCAATTTGATCGTACTCTTTTTACCAAAATAAACATGAATACTTGAATGCAAGAAAGCCTGAAAAAATAAAAATAAAAACTACCTGACAATATTTATATAGAAGAATATGACAAAAACGAATTATCAATTATTGATTTGAGATGATAGAATCAAACAAGGGGATTTATTTATAGATTTTTGGGTCTATTTTGAAAAATTGTTGCCATGTCTAGAGGTGGGCACGGGTTGAGTAAAATCCCAACTCGAAAATCGAATCAAACGATTTAAAAAAATAAAAATAAATTATCAAAGTCGGTTTGAGTTGTCAGTTAAAATTAATTTTTTTACAATACCGGAAATGAAATCGAGATTTTCATCTCAAATAGAAAATCGATTTGAGTCTAGTCTGTTTGTCGAGCTGAGTAAATTTCATGGGTTTCATGCCTAGCCCTAGCTAGGTCAACCCCATCCAAATTTCAATTACAGAAACTTTAAGACTAAGCCCTTCTTTGGGCTCCTTTTATAAAAACTCATTTTTCTCTTTCTTGTTTTCAACCTTGCATTATTTAATAAAATTATATTATAAGTAGATTCAAAAAAAATTCTTATTTTTTAACCATACATTTTCCAACAAAATCACTATTCCTAAATATATTTTCTCCAAATTTCAATTATAATGGAGCTCAAACAAGGACTAAAACTTGTGAGGATGCGGCTCCGTCCGCTTTTTATTCCATGCGCTGATTAGGTACAAATTAGATAGGATTATACATAGACATAGGCACCACCCTCGTGGCTCCATCAAGTCTTGTCAAGCCTGAAACACTTATGGGTTAATCTGTTTGGACAAGCCTGTGGCAGCCCCCAATTGGCGAGTTGTCTACGGGGTTTGTCTGCGCGACAATCCCCCAATAGGGGGCTACCACATAGGGGCCTGTCCCCATAGCACAACCCAACACTTATGGCCAATGTTGTGTCATGCTCGGGGTAGACAACCTCCCAGTAGGAGGGCTGCCACACAAGCCCCTGTAGCACAATCCAACACTTTTAGCCAATGTTGTGTCATGCTCCCTGCATATCACAGTTGGAGACTTAGCCTTCGTTTGGCTCCTATTAAATTAAATTTCATTTTTCTCTTTTTTATTTTCAAACACAAGTTTTCATAAAATAATATTATACATAAATCGAAATTTTTTTTCTTATTTTTCTATCACCCATTCTCCAAAAAATACTATTCCACCATTTATAATTTGAAATAATGTGGGCCAAACGGGGCTTAAAAAGTGTACTAAAACCTTATATGCAAGAATATGCAAGGCAAGGAGCTGAATATTGGATGGTGAGCTAGCCGTAAATAAGAGGTCTAACGTGTGGAACTGAGGTAAGGTGACAGCTAGACGAATGTGCATGGAGACAACCAAGTATAAGGCAAGCACGGGTAAAGCTAAATGATGATATAGGGGATACAACCAAAAACAACATGGAGATGAGAAAGCTTGGATCCCTCACATTTGAAAGAACTTCAAGAGGATTGGCAAAAGAATCTAGAATGTTGTAAAGCATTATAAAATTGTCCAAGCATACCACTTGCAGACACGATTTACCCAACTTTGCTCTAACTTTTTAAATATTACCTTGAGTTGTAAAAGTTTATATCAATTGTAAAATAACGTCGTTATTTGTAAATACTTATTCTGATTAACCGTCTACTCCAATTTCTTAGATTTTTCTTACTTAAGCTATAATAGGGGGTAGTTGGTATTTGAAATTTAATGTCATGCTTTCTACATTTCGTCTTATTCACCATCAATTGTAATTTAATGCTTTCATAAATTAATGAGCGAGCTATTTTCAATGCATCCAAATACTACGTTGTAAAGCTTTCTTTAATTATTTTCCATCCTGAATTGACTTGAGAATAGGTGGAAGTTGGTCTAGATGAGCAAACTACTATCGAATGGTGTCCTTTTCCGCGCTAGAAGGAAAAATGCCCCATGATAATTGATATTAGAGTTGTTGCTCATGACCCTCAATATGGAAGAGAGAGAATAATATGCGTTACACACCACTAAGTGGTTGATAATAGGAGAACAAACAATAGCCTGAATGCGCTTGATGAACAAATTGTCAAGTTATGATATGTCATCAATAAACTTGAGGAAAAGGTCGAGATGGAGAATTGGAGATCCATGAATTATGCATATAACTAGATGAAAGTCGAGCATCTTTCACAATGATTACTAATGATGTTGCAATAATTTACTAATCTTGGGGAGAAATGGAAAAATTGAAACTTCAATTGCGAATACTCCAATATCCGTTGTCAATAGGAAAGCCCCCACACAAGTGTATATACCTAAGCTTAAAGTCTGAGTGAATTACCCAAATGATCATTGAACGTCGGGTTCACTAAACTTTAAAAATCACTTAATTCATTTCTGAACTTTGCAAAAGATTTTCACGGGATAACTGAACTTTAAAAATCACCTCATTTATTACTGAACCTTGCAAAATATTTCATGGGGTGACTGAACTTTGGAAAAGGTTTCCGAAGGGTCACTAGCCCCCGCACAAGTGTATAAACATAAGCTTAAAATCCTGGAACAGCATTCTTATGAGTGAATTACCCAAATGGCCATTGAACTTTGGGGTCACTAAACTTTAAAAATCAACCTATTCNAGTTTTTAAATGTCGAGTTTGACAATTGAGATGTCTAATCTGACGGTTTTTGTAGAACCCCAAATAATTCTAGACACCTTAATAGCAATAAGACATGAATATTGGATAACTAAAGTATACTTCAAATTTTTAGTCTCATTGGAGACCCATTTTCGACATAGGAAACATTTGATTTGAAAAATGATATCTAAATAAAAGTTGTAGCTCTTTGAGT